GATTTTCTTGTTTTCCCCACGTTACGTTTCGTGGTGGTTCTCTCTTTTATTTTTTTTTTTTCCTTATTTGAGAGGTTGGGTGGAGTGCGGTGGATGTTGATAGAAAAATATGTGTCTGGCTGGGCTCGTCCTCTGCTTTTCTTCGAAATGCCGCTCAGGACATGCATCTTGTCTTGGCTCGGCCCCCTCGCGCCTTTCATTGACATGTCAAGTGCTGATAACCTGGAAGTGAGGCGGCGAGCGATTTCATTATCCTTAGGTGGAACAGCGCTGTGTCCTCAAAGTGACAAGTGACTTCTGGCAGGATTGCTTCGCGGGCTTCTGAAAAGAAATAAACTAAACTGTGGAAGTGTTCGTGTTTTCCATGGTATTCCTTAAATTGCCTGCAGTATTTTACTTAGAGTTATGCCAACAGTCATAGCTAAAAGCAGAATTAAAATCCACAACTTTTTGCTTCTTGAACTAGTGATACACATTTGATTTTTCTGTGAGTTCAGCAAAAGCAAAAGGTTTTTCTAGAGCTCTTTTAAATAAAAACTCCAAATTATTTTTTTGTCAATGGCTTCTCAAGCTTCGTGCTTCTTCTGTGAACTGGTGTCGGTGCTCAGTTTTTTTAGTCAGAGAAAAATACTCTCCTGCATATGCCCCATGTACATATGCAGTTTTTTTAGATGTGGATGTTGCACAGTATCCCTTGAAAAAAGAAAAGTTCAAACCCCTGCCCTGAACTCCCAAGCAAGAGCTGGAATGCACGTTTCGGTGTTGCAACGATGTTTGCAAAGGAGAGTAACCTGTGCTCAGGAGAACGTCAGTTTTGTGGTATGCAGTACCCATGCTGTTTCCTTTTTGTGTCTTAAACAGTTTAAAGCTAGAATGTGAAAAACTGGCCAGTGAGAAGACAGAGATGCAGCGACATTATGTCATGGTAAGCAAGCTGCATAACAAATTCAAAATGTCTATTAGTGGTATACTGAGACCAGGATACGTTGGGATTACTTGGAGGCTAACTGGAAGATTATAGTGGCACTGCTGTTACTCAGGTTGCATCAGTGTTTCCATTATAAATTCTTAGTTTCAGGGGTCTTTTAACTTGTTTGTATCAGTTAGTATCTGCACAAAACCAGCTTTTTAACCTTTTAAGCAATTGAGGATATTTCTTCCGAGTGCTGGAGAATTACTTGTCAGCCCTTTGCAGCTTTGTGCAACTTCTGTAGTGTTCCTGGGGATGATGTTTTCACATTTGCTGACTTCTCCCACTGGTCATGTCACTCTGTAAAATGATTATTTTGTAAAATTATTATTTTGTTTGATGATGGGAGTGAGCCAAAATTGTACATGCATGCATGCAAATTCAAAGCCTACTTTCTGGAAGAACTGTTGCACTTAGGCAGCTGATTTATTGTTTCACTAAATTGAGAATGTCAGGGATTGCAGCTGTGAAGGGGATTTCCTCAGTGGTTGTGGTCTGCCTGGTTATATAATGTGCATAGGAAGACATCTCTAAATACATAATTGCATGATGGATCATGATAACTGTAGAGGAGCTCTTGCTATCTCTTCTCTTGCACATCTATGCAGGATTAGCCGTTTTCCATATGTACATGGCAAGTAATACTCTTGTATTCACAAAAAGAGCAAATAACCTTGAAAAAATCTTAACCAAGAGCACGATCAAATGTTAAGGCTTGCAGTTGCCTTTTTGATGCCTGATATGCCTAGGTTTTGAAGATAGTTTGTTATTAGCATTACACACGAAACAGAGTTCTCCGCAGTACTCAGGCACAACATTAACAGGCACAACTATTTAGATTGGCGTATCTGCTTTGGCTTTGAATTTCTGTGCTTTTTGCTTTTATTTTTTATCCTTGCAATTTAATTGCAGGATTATTTTGTGGTCTTTTTTAATTTTAAATATTGAATAATCGGTCTGTTAGACACTGCTGATTTATATGTTTATATGCCTAAAGTACTTTGGGTGTTTTATTGGCATCTTTTATGTGTGCTAGGGAATAAAATCTTGAGTATTTTCTGTGTGGCTTTTTTCTCCTTCTAATCTTCGACTCTGGTTGTGAATTACTTTTTCCGATTTTGTTGTTGTTGTTGTTGTCATCTGTTTTTGCCTTGTTTTATGGCTTTTCTTTGTAAATTTGACATGAAGCAATGTAGATAAATAAAAAAAAAAAGTTTGCTCTGAAATGCGCTCTTTCCAATTCCAGGAACTCTTTAAGGCAAATAAATGTTTCTAGGTCTGTATGTCTTTGTGCAGATGATGTTTCAGTCAAAGTGAATTTCAGAATAGTTTTCACAGTTGCAAGGTCTAATAGAGTAATTTTCTTTTTTCCTAGTATTACGAGATGTCCTATGGGCTGAATATAGAGATGCATAAACAGGTAGGTAGATCATTTGTTTTGTGTAAGAATGCTCTGTATAATTTCTTCCATCAGTCCTCAGACAGATGTGTATTCTGTGTGATGTGCTTTACTTGCTTGCTTGAGTGCATTGGAATTTTTTTTGTTCTTCACCTGGCCCTGCAACTTCCATCTCCTGTATGGTATACAGACTGTGTAGTTTACTGTCTTAAATACCAGTTGTGCATTATTTGGTTGATTTTCCATGTACAATTTTTGCACATGCTGGTGGTTCTATATTGCACAGGGAGGGTGTCTGTGAGTAGGGGTGTGTTTGTGGGTTGTATCTTAATTTTTGTATGGCCTCAAACATTTGGAGCTTGCTTTCTGGCATGATAGCTACACTTCAAGTGCGTATATTAGAGAAAGAAATGTGTGTGGAAATGCCTGTTCTTTTTGGTTAATCTGCACTGATTTAAGCTGGAGCTACAAAAGCAATTGATGTACAGCTGTATTTGTATTTCTCTCTTACTTGGACTGTTCTTCAAAACTAGTGTCTTAGCATCTCAAACACAAGAGAGTCAGTGAGCTTTCTGCAAGGGTGTTAGCATAGAATCATAGAATGGTTTGGGTTGGAGGCGACCTTAAATACCTCTGGTTCCACCCTGCCCTTCCATGGGTAGGGACACCTTCTGCTAGACCACATCACTCAGAGCCCCATCCAGCCTGGCCTTGAACACTCCCAGGGATGAGGCATCCACAACTCAGGGCAACCTGTGCCAGTACCTCACCACCCTCACAGTAAAGTATTTCTTCCTAATACCTAAACTGAACCTACCCTATTTCAGTTTAAAGCCATTCCCCTTTGTCCTTTCACTACATGCTCTTGTCTAAAGGTCCTCTACAGCTCTCTTGCAGGCTCTCTTTTGGTACTGGAAGGCTGCTATCGGTTTAGTGCCTTGAACTCTAGCACTTAGGCCAAGATTAGCAGGAGATTAGTCAGCTGGAGCATGGTAGTATAAATTAGAGTTTCTTATTTGATAATGTGTGTTTTTAACCTTCTCTAGAGGAGAATGAATTAAACATCTGACCTCTTTTTCCAGTGAGGGAACTTTTTATATGGTGGAGTTTAATACTGACAACTCATTTTAGCAAATGGTTGAGCAATTCACCAGCATTGCTGGGGAATGTAAACTGCAGAAATAAAGAAATGATTGGATGGGAGAAGAAAGACCATCTGAAAATTGGTTTGTATGTATTTCTGTTCAGAGTTAGGGATTTGGAACTTCTCTGGGTCGTGGAAATAGGATTTCTTTATCTTGTTGAGAGCAGACATACAAGTCAAATGTTTTTTCATGTTATTTATTATATTTTGTATTCCATTAGCATCCCAATGCCACAGAACTGATTAGGGCCATTTATGCTATGTGGCATACAAATAGGAAGACTGTGGGATTTCCTACCTCAAAGCATTTTGCATCTGCAGCTCCAAACTTACGGGATCTTGTATGTACAAGGCATTTTGCAGCCATATATGTAGACCTTTTGAATTCTCCTGTGGGTCCTTCTCACAATGACCATGAACACTCAACACATGCATTTAGCAGATGGCTGACACGAAAAGGCTCTGATAGCAGCCGATCAGATTGTATACATGTAGTGACTCTCTAGACCTGATTCATGTTGTGAATGTGGGTGGAAAGACTGGTCTCTAACTCTCAGAGGTGTTCGGTCTGTTCTTAAATGAATATCCCGATTGTTTCAGGTCCCATTAAAAAAAAACAAAACAGAACCCAAACCCACACTGAACAAACCCCCAATCAGTAAAGCTGTAGATATGGAAACAATTCACAAAGACCAGAGTCTTTACAGGCCACGTACGTAGCAGATTCTTGCAGGCATTTGAAAGCAAGCATTGCAATCAACCTTGTTTATATTTCTAGATACTCTGTTTTTACACTATTTAGTTATATGTATACTTACACCGACCTGCACAAAACTCTGTGTGACAAAATCAGCTTGCAAGTGCAATGCGTAATGAAATTGTATTAAGCAAAACCCACAGCGAAAGCCCTTTTAACTTTTAATTTCTAAATGTTTTATTTCAGAAATTGTATACAGTTAGGTTGTTGGAATCATTAATGACGTTATGTAGAAATTAAATACTTAGTGACAACTAAGTGTGGGGGATTACAAAGGACTGGGTTTTAATTAAACACCTTTTTCCATCACCCTGCAGTCTATTCAAATTACCAGTTTTAAATATTGTACTCTCATGCAAAACAGTTAAATATTTTGTCAGATGTTGATTCAAATTAGCTGAAGCTAAAAAAACTTGTTTGCCATCATTCTTAAATCTGATATCAATTTCATATCTTTCACATCTCCCCTTTCATTGCTACAGTGTCACATTTTTCCTTTCTCCTCTTGCCTCAGCAATGGCAAAATATTTCCATCTTGCTTTATGATCACAGCATTAGGGTCCAATTTGGTATATATATAGATAGCATTGATTGCTTCCTTTCTATGGGCAAAGCTTTTTGAGTCTACCACCTTAAATTCCCTTTTCCTCCACTATTACCTTTGAATTTTTCTCGAATGAAATTGAGCAATTCACTTTTTTTTTCCCCATCTCCACTGCCTTCCCCCCCC